ACAAAAACAAAAACTTATATAGGCAAGTCGGGGAATATTACAAGTTTGTTGAGCAGTGCCCATTTTTATACAAAACACTTTGTTACTATGACTTTATACTTGACTTACTTGACTTATGCCGTCCACGCAGGCCAGGGGCCTCGTGATGGCTTCTGTATGGTGATGGTATTCCAAGTCTTTCTGTCTGCAGCCAAACTTGATGCATCTGTCAGTCTTGATATGGATCTTGCTTTGCAGTCCTCTGAGATGCAGTCAAGCCATCTTTTGGGTGGAAGGCCTCTGGGTCGATTTCCTGCGACGTTTCCTTCAACAGCAATTTTGGGGTATCTTGTGGGTTTCATTCGTAGGACGTGACCAAAATATTTGAGTATTTTAGTCGAGACTTTGTCCATGACATCTTGTTCGAGGTTGAGGGATTCTTTGATGTGCGTGTTTCGGAGCTTGTCTAGTCTTGTCACCCCCATTATGCGACGGAGGCATGCCATTTCAAATACTTGAAGACTGTTGCTGTCACTTGAACTTGAGCCGTTTTCAGCTATCCCCCCCCCCCCCCCCAGGTACACAAAATCTTACACCTGTTTCAGTCTGTCGTTGGCTATGTCAATGTTAAAGTTGCACTTTCTTTTGCTGATAACTTGCACTTCTGTCTCGGCTATGTTTACCTTGAGTCCAAGGTCACAGCTTGCCTTGTAGAATTTGTCCACAAATGTCTGCAGTTCCTCTTTTTTCTCTGCTATTATGACGATGTCGTCTGCTAAACGTAGATTGTCTATGCAGGTTCCTTGGATTTTAGCTCCTATTTTGACTTCGTCCATTGCCATGATCATAACTAGCTCGAGGAGTATGTTGAAAAGTTGTGGGGAGATGGCTCACCCCTGCCTGACTCCAACGGTTGTCTTGAACCACTCTGTCAGCTCTCCATTTACTCTGACCGCACTCTGGGATCGTTCGTACAGTGCTTGTAGCAGTCGTATCAGCTTGCTAGGATAGCCAAAACATCCTACGCCTTCCACAGACCCTTCTGCCATACCGAATCAAAAGCCTTCTGAAAGTCGATATAGCAGCAGTACAGGCTTCTATTCTTTTCCAGGTATTTTTCAGATATTTGTCTGAGGGTGAATATTTGGTCCTTCGTAGCCCTGCCTCGTCTGCATCCTGCCTGGGATTCAGAGAGGATTTCTTCTGTTCTTTTGAGAGTTCTCCTTTGTAGGATTATGGTCATTACTTTTCCTGCATTGGACAGTAGACTGATACCTCTGTAGTTCCCCCAGTGTAGTGTATCTTTCTACTTGTATATTGGGGTTATTACTGCTCTTCTCCATTCCTCCGGGAAATTCTCAGATTCCCATATTTGGTTTATACAGAGATAGTGAAAAATGTATGTTCCTGTTTCTCCAGCTGCTTTGATTTCCTCGGAAGTGACTGTATCAAATCCTGGTGCCTTATCCTCACTGAGTTTTCGTATTGCACTTTTAATTTCTTCCTTCAGTAAGTTTCGCTCTGGGTTATCTGAAGAGCTCTTGGGTAGACTGTTTGCTACTGTGTCGTTTTTGGGGTCGTGTTCATTATATAGTTCGTCATAGTTTTCTTTCCATCTCTTCTTTACTTATGATTGATCTGTTAAAGTTCTTCCTGTCTTACTCTTAACTGATTGCTTTCTCTTTGATGCTGATTTGGTGATTTTCTTAATTGTTGCATAAACCTCTTTTTATTTAGCATCTTGATGTGCGTTTTCTACTCTACTGCAAAGGTCTTCCTCTTTATCTCTCTGTTCAAAAAGTTGTACCTTGGTTTCAGTGAAGGGTCATTTGTTTGGCTTGTTTGATTTTGCTGCGTTCTTCGCTGAGATCTAGCACTTCTTGTGAGATCCATGATTCCTGTGGTCTACTTTTTTTCATTCCCAGAACATCCTTTGCTGTGGTGTTAAATGCTTGCTCAATCTTTTCCCAGATGCTATCTATGTCTGGGTTGGTATCAGGGTAATCAAGCAGAGGTCTGAACTTCCCTCCAATTATGTCTCGGTAAGTTTTTGATGTAGTTTCATCTTACAGTTTTGACACATCATATCTCTTCATTTTGTTCTGTTTGGGTTTAGTTTTGAATCGTAGCTTGAAATTGTAGATAACCAGTTGGTGATCTGAGGCCACATCAGCACTTGGAAAAATTCTAGCGCATTGTACGCTTGATTTCCATTTGTTGTTCACCATGATGTAGTCTATCTTGTTTTTGGTCCTCCCATCTGGCGACTCCCATGTCCATTCACGACTTGCCTTCTTCTGCTTGAACATGGTATTTGCGATAGCTAGATTGTTGGCCATGCAAAAGTTCAAAAGCTTTTCTCCTCTGTTGTTGATTTCTATGATGTCCTACACTCTTAAAACTGAAATGTTAAATCACCATTTAAAAAGGCCGAGGAGTGACAACTCTTTCAAAATGGTAGATTAACACTTTGAACATGCTGGATCCAACCTTTATAGTGGTGGATCCAGCATGTTCAAAGTGTTAATCTACCATTTTGAAAGAGTTGTCACTCCTCGGCCCTTTTAAATGGTGATTTAACATTTCAGTTTTAAGAGTGTATGACGTTCTTCCATGTGTCCCAATCTCTCCCTACTTTTGCGTTTAGATCACCTTGCACTATCAATATGTCTTTGTTAGGAGTGTCGTCTATTGTTTGTTGGAGCTGGTCATAAAATGTGTCTATCATTTCCTCTCTGTCTGCCGTGTTTGGTGCATTCACCTGGATTATTGTTAAGGCTCCAGCCTGTGTTTGGAATCTGGCTGATATCAGTCTGGGGGATATGGTGTTATATCCCAGGAGTGCTTGTTGTGCTTGTTTGTTGAGGATCAGAGCAACCCCTCTCCTGTGTACATCTTCCTCGCTAGCACACAGTACTTTGTATCCTCCTTTAGTTAAATCTCCTGATTCTTTCCAGTGGGTCTCTGAGACTCCAATAACCTCCAACTTGAATGTCTAGTTTTCTATCTTGATTTATAGTACGCACATTCCATGTGCCAATACCTATAGTTTGTTTGCTGTTAGTAGAGCCGTTCTTTCTTTTGGGTTATCAACATGATCTCTTCCAACAGGATTTGGATATGATGCATCATCATGTACTGCAGTTTGCAGGCCCGTCGGTCGAAATGGCTGGTTAGTGTTATCAGGGGCTTTAAAGGTACTGTGTCCCATTTGCAGGCCAAAAAATGAAAAAGTTAAATTCCAACTGCATTTGAAAGATAATACTAATTTAGAACTTCCCTAAAAAAGGTGGGGCTTGAAAATGTCTTCAAGTGGGAAAATAACGACTATTATTTGTAAAATCGACTTTAGGGTTATAGAGCCCAAAAGTAATAGTCTTGATTTTCAGACAATTGTACCGAATGTTCATACGTTTTATGCTGCGTAAAGATTCAATCAGTTTAATCTTGGCCATCACAAGAAGTGGGTTATTGATGTAGGCAAATGCTCATGTACCCTTTACAACTCTTTTCATGTATGTTATTACCAAAGAAGAAAAAAGCCAGTCCGTCACTCAATAGTGTCTGACAGTGAAGTCTAGCAAGTAAACGGGTTTCCTTGTATAATTTGAATATGAGAACACTGCTAACGTTTAAATGTCACAGATAGGACATACATGACATATTCATAATTCCTGCAAAGTTCTACAGAATTTGAGGTTGGCTGCAAAAGGGACATAGTACCTTTAACTCTGGTGCTATTTAGGCTTTGCATCATTCATACAGTTTCGCTCATTTGGTTACACTAGGCGGATGAGACACTCCTCTCCTAGCCACCCTGGTCTGTCCGCCACCAACTGAACAAGTCAGATGGCTCACAACCCCTACCAGCTTGAAGGTAGACCAGGACGTTTACCTTGATCCTCACAAGTTGGTCCTTCCCTCACACTGCATGTGTGGAAGGGTCTCCCCCTTGTGCTCCATAATAAAATGGGAGGGTCAATATTATAGGGGATCGATGTTACTATGCCATGCCATAATCAATACCCATGTAATCTTGCGAAGATATAATCATATTTTCCTCTCCATTACTTCATGATGTAGGTCTAGGACATAGGAACCGAAGAGGAGTATTTGTATGGACAGACGGAACACCCATGTCATATACTGATTGGTATATTCCTACAAAGTAAGTGCTCAGTCTCCGTAAATCTTAAAAAGAATAATTAGACTAAGTCATGAATTCTGCTGCAGTGTCGAGAAACGCATTTGATTATTCAGCTATAAATAAAAACCCAAATTTAAAAATAATATAAAGTTCACCTCTTATTTCCTAGAAGTGCAATAGGATCATTTTCATAATGAAGTTTCTGTTCCTCATTTTTATGTTAATGCCATGTATAAATCATGAAAAGTTATATAAATGTTATCTGATATAACGATGCACCTGAAAAAAGCTAACATTCCCAGGCAAAGAAATGATGTTTCATAGAAAATGAAGTTGAACCCTTTTGAGTTTTGACCGTACACTAACGCACATTATCCAACACGCACCTCACATCCATAAACCCACACACACCCACACACACGCACACACACACACACACACCCAAACACACACCATCCCCACAAATTTCTCCATTGCAATATCAATCGAAAGATTATGTGTACCTTATAGTTATATTATTTTGAACAAGTTTACAAATGAATACTGCATACACAATTAACTTTCGCAGCCAGCCATCCTTCACTTAATAAATATGAAAGTTATTATATCATGATCGGTTACAGGAATTAGACAGAGTAATATTCGATATTGGTTATTATGATGTATTAGAGACCTTGCAGTGTGACGTCTAACAGTGAATTGGGAAGCAGATCCCTTCCATTGCTACTACAAACAAGTGAACAGCAGTTTCGAATTTATTGAATTCTTTCAATAAACTTGATAACTGGATTTGTCTACACGAATCGGTTTTATTTACCAAAGGCCCAAGGAGGGATTTAAACAACCCAATGGTGGAATGTCAGAAGCCTGTACAATGTTAGTCTTTGATCCAGCCACATCGACCGATCTCTCTACCGATCTCTGGCACGATGTTGCCTGTGCTTCTCCAGAAACGACACAGTTTATTTGCAAAACTCCAGCGACAGGTAAAGACCAGCATCCTGACATGATATCATTACCTACATATCTACAGTTCCTGACGAAGGATCGGACATAAAATGTAGTCTTGCAAAGAAAAAGAGAGTAAAAGAATGAAGATCTGAAAATGCACTAACATAAGGATCGATGTTGAGAGCTGAAAGCAGTGAATTATAATGTCTTTTGTATCAAGGCTCATGGATATTTAAACAAACCATTACTGTCAAATAGTAGCCCTCAACTTCCACAACAATAAATAAGCTTCAAGAAGGCGTTGCTTTGAAAATTTTACGATTGGGGTTCGGAGGGGGGGGGGGGTGGGATTCAGTTTTTGTAGTGTGCCGACAAGGTGTGACAAATAAATTGTTTCATGACAGTTCGCCAAGAAACGTTCTAACAAGCCCCCAAAAGGTCATAATTTATTGCCAATTTGTTGTCACGGTATAAAATCCAAAGTGGCCGACACTCGATTCTGAATGCCTAGAAAGATAATTTCCTACTACCTTCCAGTGTCATAAAATCTTCTACCCTTACAATCCTCTGCCATGCATACATATATTTAACTGTATATTTTAGCTTTAGTACTTTTTACTCATAAAAATCCTATTTAATTCAATTCGTATTTAAATATTTAGGTTCACCACGGGACTTATCCGTTCATCTCTACAAACCAGGTAAACATCAGGTTCAACTTTTGGCACCGCATGCTCTGAATGGCTATATTATGACAACGTCTAGTGTGGGGGAGGAAGGGGGTGGCAGAAGTATTATTAACTGATCTACTCGTCAAGACTGCCATACCTCTGCCTCTATCTGACCGTTTCATTTCGGCTCTGTTCGGTCTTTGTTTGTCTGAGTGTCTCTCCACCTCTCTCTCTCTCTCTCTCTGTCTGTCTCTCCATCCTATATTACTGTGTGACTATATGTGTGTATCAAACATTTTGTTTTCATGATTTAACTTCGTTAACTTCATGCACTTATGCCCTTGTCTGCAATGTTGATTTTCGAACAAATACCATTTCAATTTAATTCAATTTATTCACGGCTAACAAAAATAACAAACAACCAAATTTGCGTTTATGTCGTGGCTTTATTAACATTTTGAGATGGACGCTTATTTTGCACATTTTGATTTTCTGGGTGTCATAACAAAATAACCCAGATATATTGAATCATAAAAAATGCTTACAAATGCAATGCTAGGCCCCCCGCCTATGAAATCGAGTGATGCCTAGGCTAAACTTATATACATTAAGTCATTATATCAGCCCCCCGCCTATAAAATCGAGTGATGCCTAAAGTTATGCTAGGCCCCCCGCCTATGAAATCGAGTGATGCCTAGGCTAAACTTATATACATTAAGTCATTATATCAGCCCCCCCCCCGCCTATAAAATCGAGTGATGCCTAAAGTTATAGAATATAGATGTATATATATACCAGCCTCTCCGCCTGTAAGATCGGATGATGCCTAAGATTAAAGCGTGACACTCTGAGTTTGAAAATGTGTAGGTACAACTAGGTCCCCCCGCATTCAAATCGAATGGGGGCCGGAAAACTAAGAATTGACATGCGAACAAATTCGACTGAATATACATTGGCAACCCCCTCGCATGTAAAAATTGAGTGGAGTCGAAAATTATCGGATGACAATTATTGATCAATAAACTTATCAGTACCATGTGATTAGTGATTTGGAGGCATAATTTGACAAATTACCGCCAAACGAGAATATATTTATATATGATCGGCCGCCAAATCACAACGTTGTCATCACATTACAATAAGTTGAGGGACATCTCCATAGAGGCCAAGCGTATTCAAAACGCACCACAAAAGGGCGCACAATCAGGTATGGGCTTTTACACACACTGTCCATTTTACGAGCTCATATCTCCCCGAATATATCTTGATGTACAAAAGAACCCGATTTTATGAAAATTCAGGTATAAGACTTGCTGTAGATGCCAAATTTGTCTACTTTTGTGAAAATTTTACATAGGTACCTTTCGAGTTGAAAAATAGCTTACAGGGCACTTTCTAGGGCAATTAGCCTGCCACAACACGCGTTTTCACATTGACGCGAGGTGGAATATTTCCAACCGGATTTCCAACTTTGGCGGGGCGTTTCACTGTCGACACGTTGTTCATTCACAAAAAACCTACATATGTAGTTGCAACAGATCCTTATGCATATTCATGAGAAATTTCGTGGCAATTTGCAAAAATTCGCCATAGGTACCTTGTCAATATTCATAAACCTTGTCAATCCGACTAGCTAGCAAGGCCATTTTGCCCATGCCATAGGTGTACACACAATAGCATGCGCGTGCAACAATTGTAATACGCGATGCTGATTGGATAACTATCGTTAGAGTATGATGTCGCATAAGGTTAGCGCGGGATCACTTCATAAATATTCATTCCTTATGACCTCCCAACGGCTCTCAACGACTGGCGCGCGCGTATGCAATGTGCACACTACGCGTTAATTGGTTTAATCTGTTTTACATTGCGCGTATGCGAATAAGGTCAACTCGTGATAGTTATATGAATATTCATTAATCAGTACCACCAATGGGCTCTGATTGGCTGTATGTAAATGAAAACAATACGTCATACCTCATTAGGTTTTGTCCCCTGACGCGTATTAACTTGTTGTAATGAACGATTTCTGTGCCCTAAGGGAATATCTATGCTTAACTATTTACACTTTGGTGGAATTAACATTTCAATTGGCCAAATTAACCAATGTACATGTACAGGCACGTACTTTTTCGCCCTTAGCTAATTTATAACCCTCTAACAGACTACAGAGTATCATAATAAACTTTTCTCTACAACACCGGCACATCATTATGCCTAATTCATTCCCCTCAAAGAAGTGACTAAACCGTTAATGCCCATTTCGAAATGAAGCATTTACTGGTCATTTACCAATGTCCACCTAAACCTGCCCCATATAACCATTATTTACTCTCCACAACTTTGTTACTCCCAAAATAAGGCACTCTTATCCCAACAACAAAAACATGATCTTGCGGTGCCGGACTCAAACTTTTTTGCGCCCAATAAACAAAATCACGTGAAAATCACGTCAATATCAAGGTATCGACTTGAGGACAGTTACGTTCTTCAAACACCTGACATTTACGTAAATGTGTTAATACGTTTATTGCACTAGGTAACTTAAAACACACGTACACTAAATCACGCAATTGTCACTGCAATATCACCATTATAATAACGTGATTATCCCTACCTTGGAGAATGTTTTACACTCCGTAAATTTTTCTTCTTGTCCATTCAAAATGAAAGCCATAACTAGAATGAAAGCCCCTTCGTGCTATTTTTAATTTGCTGGCGGTATTTTCCGCGCTTGCTTGATAAGCGTACATACGCTTGTACATTTCCTTTCAATGTAATACAAAGTATTACATTTCCTAGCGCGTGAATTTCCCTCAAAAATGTAAACAACCTCTTGACCTACATTTTGTCAGCCTGTCAATAAACCATTTTAAATCGTTGTCTACTCTTTAAATTTTATTAGTCTCTCTTTACTATATACTTTCCTTATTCCTTCAACCTTCATAAAATCTCTAATACATCCTTCATTCTCTAAACCGTTCCCAGAAGAAGAAAAAGTGTTCCTTACCTTTTCTGAGTTTCTAGATCCAATGGAGTCTTGTGGGCCAGGACTATTCCATTGTACCTCAGGGGAGTGCATACATGATGTGTTCCTATGTGATGCTGCCGTCGATTGCCAGGACTCAAGCGACGAAACCGATTGCAACAAAGGTATGTATCACTTAAAAAACGCCTGATGATGTGACGTTCATTGCACATGTGTTTTTTTAGTGGAAGGATTGTGAGAATAATTGGACTGTTTTTTTATACCTGAGCTTCAACCTTCTGTCGTATTGTAGAATACAAGGGGAAAGTCGTATTTCAAAAGTTTAGGTTTTTTCAAACGCCCATTTAATATTCCGAGGACATAAATCTCATATAGAAAGGGTTCATTACGACGAAAATGAAATAAGGTTATTCTTAATATTAAGGAAAATTTGGAAATATTAAAGGGTTGAAAGTGACTTGTAGCCGAATCAAAATCCTCACCCACCTATTTTTTTCTTCATGAGAATCAATATAATATTTTTTTTTCCTCGTTCATTTACACTAGGTTGCGATGAGAACCAATTCGAGTGCAACGATGAGTCGTGTATATCGGTGTCGTTTGTGTGCGATACCATTCCTGATTGCAAGGACAATTCAGATGAAAATAATTGTGGTAAGTTCAGTCTCATGAAACCTGCCATATCATTACAAAAAATATTTACCATTTCTTACGTTCAATAACAATGATAATATTTTTAGACTTCTCAAAGGCGTTCGATACTATTGACCATAAAATTCTTCTTAGTAAACTGTCTCACTACGGTGTCAGAGGGAAGCCCCTTGAGTGGTTAAGTAGATACCTTTCAGACAGAACTCAATACACCTCTGTAAACAATTTCCAGTCATCAATTAAAAATATTACCTGTAGGGTGCCTCAAGGCTCTCTTCTTGGCCCTTTCTTTTCATACTATATATAAACGATTTCAAACGGTCATCTAATATTTTATCTTTCATATTATTTGCTGATGACTCTAATATTTTTCTCTAATGTCATGACCCCCCAAAGTCCCCTAAATACAATTAACTCGGAATTAGTTTTGGTTCAAAGTTGGATAAAAGCCAACAAACTATCATTGAATATTAAAAAGACACATCATATGATTTTTAGCAACACTATTGATCATCTTCCTGGTCCTATTCAAATAAATGGTATCGAACTAGAATGTGTTCAAAGTACAAAATTCCTTAGAATTTATGTTGATCGCAAATTGACATGGAAAGTGCACATTAATTATTTATGTAAATTATTATCAAGAAACATTGGTGTCATAAATCATGTTAAAAATACATTTCCTTTACCGGTTTTATCATCACTGTACACAACCCTTATTTTGCCTTACCTCAATTATGGGATTTTAGCATGGGGAAATCCTTCTAAGACCCTAACTGACCGAATATTAATTTTACAGAAGCGTGCATTAAGAATAATTCATAATGTCTACTTTCGTTCCCACACTAACCACTTATTTTTACAAGACAAAATTCTTAAAATTAAAGACTCGTATTCTTGGTACCTCGGTATCTTTATGTTCCAGCTGATTAATAACGTGTTATCTCTCCCGATTTCCTCCATTTTCCAAAAAAATAACGAGATACATTCATACCCCACAAGACAGTCGAATCACTTCCACACTCCTCGAATGAGAACAGCTTTCGCACAAAAGACAATTATTTACACCGGTCCAGTATATTGGAATAACATAGATCCATCTCTTAAACAAAATATTAGTTTATCCATTTTTAAAAAAAAAGTTAAAGACTAAACTTTTAGACGCATATAGATGTACATGATAGAATCTCGGGTTGTTTGACTCTCGACTCAATCTCTTTCTCAATCTCCCTTTTCTAGAGCTTTTTTTTTGTCTTCTCCTTTTTTCCTCCATTCATTTTTTTTTTCTTTTCTTTTTCTTCCTCATTTTTTTTCTACTTTTTTTTCCTTCTTCCTAGCTACATATTGTCTATTTATTGATCTATAAGCATACGTTGTTCATGTTTTATTGTAAAATTTGCATCTGAGGAACTAACACTTCAACAAGCTCTGCTTCAAGTTAGTTCCTCTTTTCTCGTGTTATTTGCACTATATTTATCGTTTCATTACATATTTGTTGTGATATAATTATTTTTGTATTATGTTTTGCATGAGAAATAAAAATCAATCAATTAGAATAACAACAACGTTAACAACAACATCAACAACAATAATGATAACAACAATAATAATATTAATAAAAATAAAAACGATGATGATGCCAATGTAAGCTTATTGATATCTGTTATGGTCATATTTTTTTTTGTCTACAGAGCGAGTTCATGGGGGCGTTTCATGAAACAATTAGTCGGTGGTTTTCACCGACTAATATTATGTTCACCGACAATTCTGTTGTCACCGACTATTTTCCAGGCCTGTAATTGTTCAAATTTAGTCAGCGCTGACTAAATTGTTGGTGAACATGATATTAGTCGGTGAAAACCACCGACTGATTGTTTCATGAAACGCCCCCCCCCAGGTATTTCTAAAGTGTTGCATTATATAAACCCCTGTTAATATATATATATATATATATATATATATATATAGAGAGAGAGAGAGAGAGAGAAGCATCGTCATTTAATCATAATGATGTTGATTTTAAACAGTATTGTTAGGTTTAGTTTTTAAATTTACTTTTCTTTCTCGTGTTGTTGTTGTTTTTGTTGTTTATTTGTTTGTATTTTGGTTTAACGTTTAGTTTTATTTCTTTATTTTTGTTGCCTATTTTTGAGCGAAAGTCTTTAAATTTGCTTCTATTATTAAATGATTATTCTTAGTTCCCCTTAAAATCATGATTTGATATAGAGCCTAGCAATTCATTTTCTAAAATTTTGATATTTAATCATATTGTATATGTATACTTAATCTAGGCCAACAGGGCCATTGGAGGAAGCAGTTCTGTAACTGACAATTCTACGCTGTAAAACGAAAAAGAAGAAAAAAGAATGAATAACTAATTCATTAAATAAGTTCTTGGGTGACTAAGTTAACACAACTAATATGCAGAAACACCTACAAATCAAACTAGTAGCATGAAAAATGATTACCTGATCACGATATTGAATCTTACCTCGTACAGTATATTCTCGATGCTCGGAGTCTGAGTTTACATGTGACAACGGACAATGCATATATATCTTCAAGAGGTGTGACTTTGTTCCACACTGCCACGACTCTTCAGATGAAGTTGATTGTGGTAAGAAACATTTTCATTTTTCTTTTTTGTTTCATTTCCCCGGTCTATTTCTCAAATAAATCTGTTTTAATTTTCTAACAAGTTTGTCGTATATTTGTTGTAAACGTATTTAGATAATTCGTCCTTGTTTTCACGAAGTGACGGTAGTAAGGAAAATCGTAACGCAAAGTGAATGCAATTTATTTTCACTACCGTCACTTCGTGAAAACAGCGACGAATTATGAAGTATTCGAATGACAGTTTCTCCCTCCTTTCTCTCACCCTCTGGCGCGCGCTCTCTCTCCTTCATTCCCTCACTCTTTCTCTCCCTCGCTCCCTCTATCTATCTATGTATGTCTGTCTGTCCGTCTCTCTCTCTCACTTTCTTCTTTTCCAACCCACTCCCTTTCTACCGTCGCTACAGACTCCACTCCTTGTTTTAGTTGTTTATCCGCTTATAGGATTCAAGTATTGAAACTTTTTAAAATGAAAATCAAATTATTTTTTCGTTTTACCTTAGTTCTTGAGCTATCTTCGTCAGCGTTCCAGTGTTTTGATGGGTCTTTGTTTCCTAACAAAGTTAGATGTGATGGCATGCTGGACTGTATCAGCATGAATAGTGAGGACGAAGACCCGTGTGGTAATATGAAAGAATATTTATTTGATAAAGGGTAATCTTTTAACTTTATGGCTATTTTTTTCTTTCTATTTGATTTTTTAGAATTTTATTTCATTTGTTAACAGATTTCTAAGGAAATTTAACAACCTAAAGGGTGCCAGTAGTCATGAAAGTTGCCTTTTCAAATGCTCTCTTGGGATGAAGAATACTATGACAACGCATGATTCTTTAGCAAAATACTGGTGTCGGGGTTTGTGATGAGCTTCCTCTTTAGTAAATATATAGGCCTACCTTTTTTTTCGAAAAGTGTTCGTGATACCATTGTTTCAAAATCACTCAATTTTTAGATTTTATTTATATACTTCTTTCAATTATCCCAGATTACAGGGTTAATCCAAATTTTGTCTGTAACTCGGACACTGAACTGGAGTGTGATAACGGCGCATGCGCACCACTGGATACAATCTGCATGTACGAACTCAATGAAGTTGGGTTACTTAATGGCTGCCGTGACGTCACAAATCTCAAAGAGTGTGGTAAGAAATACGATTTTCATTTTATAATTAAATACGAAGTTTCCCAAATTAACTTAAAGTTCATAACGATAATTGTGATGTTGATGTAAGTGAACGAGGTATTTCGAACAGCTTATAACTTTCCGAAACGGTCTGAATCTCTCTTGTGTATAATTCGATGTAATCTAAGTATCTAAATATGAAGTGATATTTTATCGTTATGTCTATCATGTGAATTCCTTGTATTCCTGGATTATTTGGCAATAAGAGAATAATGGTGCAAAATATAACGATTGTCAAGTGTTATGCCAGTGTACTTATCCAACCATGTAGCAGATGTTCGGACAAAACTCTTTTCTGATTTTAAGATGCTCATATGGCTCCGGTTGTCTCATTTTTTGCACGCTGGAACATTGCCAGCACAAACCACTGACCTCTACCTCCTGGACGGATCATCGCCCATTCCCATTTACTATACGTTACGTACTAAACGGCTGTATTGTCTGACCTTTCATGAATATTCATGTTTTTGCTTACCTCGGGAAAATGTTTGCTTTTACTAAATTGAAAAATTACGATGGGAGGGGGGGGGGGGGGGGTTGGATGAAATTGACATAGTGAACCAAGTAGAAGTGCTCTTTGATAATTAATGCTTCTTATCCTTTGTGTGCTTGACCCATAATCTTCAAATCGCTTGGCATACTTACTCCAAAGTTCGACTTGTTTCACAGGTGTATTATATAGGCAATGACGAGCTTGCAACCTATTTTGATCAAATTACGGTGGGTGAACTTTCAAAAGTAAATGGGACATGAGGATTCAAATGAAAGAGCTAGTGATAACGTACGTCGGGGTGGATGTGCTTTTCGTTTAAACAAAAAAAAAAGAGAATTTTTAACGATTTTTTTTTTTTTTTTTTTTTTTTTTTTGGGGGGGGGGGGGGGGGGGGGGGGGTAACATTCCATAGGCTAACATGTTAGGCTGCTGACTCTGACGATAGGGGGCGTTGTGAAATGAGACTAAACGGAGCAATATGCATATAGTTCTAGGAATATCTTTCTCTGTAGCGAAATGTTCAAAGTATCGAACTAAACGAGAATATTAGTATTTGCAGGTATACTTTCTTTTAATATAATTGAATGTATACTGTTATATTTCCATTCCAGAGACTCACACATGTCCATCTTGGACATTGAAGTGTCCAGACTCGTACTGTATTCCTCTACGGTATCGATGCGATGGAAAGATGGACTGCCCTACAGGAGAAGATGAACAAGATTGTGGTATGGCCTGATGGTCCTGTTTTATCATTATCAATATCATTACTATTCTTCTTCTTCTCATTATTACTATTTTAATTATTATTATCTTAACTATTATCATTATTATTAACATTATTATCATTACTATTATTATCATCATTATTGTTATCATTATTATCTTTAACATTATTGTTATCATCATCGTTAATATTATCATCATTATCAATATTGTTATCATTATTATTATTAATATAATTATCATTATTATTATGATTATTATTATAAGTATTATCAATTTTATCATTATTGCATCATTATTATTATCTTTATAATTACTATAATTATTATCATTATTATTATCAATATTATTATCATTATTATCTGCAATATTATTATCATTATCATTGTCATTATTGTTATCGTTAATATCTTTATCATTTTTCTTATTATTATTATCATTATTGTTATCATTATTATTATCAATATATCATTATTGTATTATTTTTTATCATTATTATAATTATTATCATTATTATTATTATTATTATCATTATTATTATCATTATTAATATTATTAACATTATTATAAATATAATGATCATTATTATTATTATTATTATTATTATTATTATTATTATTATTGTCTGGCGTCATCTGTTTGTATTATTAATATAATTCATATTTCTATTATCAATATACGTATTTGTAGTATTATGATTATTATTATTATTATTATTATTATTATCATAATTATTATAAAGTTTTTAACTTCGCCTCTCCCTTGGAGGTGAAAAGCAAAACTAACCCTCCCGATAGAACTCAACATACAAAGGTGAAGACTTTCCTCTACACGGGCCCTCCCAGAGGTAGTGTTTATCCACTGTAACATCTTTTTATATCCAACACCTTATCAACATCTTCATAAATTCAGATAGGTATACTTGTTAAATATAAGTAATATGATTGACGATTTTGAATAATTGAGCAGTTATAACTTTTTAAGCTGTTTTTGTTTGCTTTTTATCCCACTGAAAGCACTTGTACTATTTTCTTTTGCTACAGTCCTTTCATTTTGTTTAATTCGCGAATGTGTTCGAGTAGATGCTCTTTATGGCAGGTTACGGGTTGTTGCAGTGGTAGTTATCCGCTTGTGGTACTGAATTAAGCTATCCACTGGCAGAATAAGGGGGGACTTTCCTGTAGACCGAAAACAGAATCAAAATAATTAGCTTAACCAGAAGCGGTGGTTCTCGAGATCAAAGGATTAGGTATTATGGACCTTCTAACAACTAGTCAAGAATGCTCACGATATCAGAGGCCCAAGACCAAAAGTTCACGAATTACTGGACCTAGTGGATCTCATATAGGCCTTAAAGTATCTGACTTTTAATTTTCGTTTAGCTGAATGTTGCTTGTCATATACACAAACAGCAAGTGATGCTTTGATAGTCATTACATGAACTACAGTAATATTTGATGACTGATTAATATTTATTTTCCCTAGATACATTTGATTGCCCGGCTGGGTCATACCGTTGTCATGGCAACAAAATCTGCATCAGTCCTGATCATGTCTGTGATGACGTCATACACTGTCCTGATCAAGATGACGAAATGTTTTGTGGTAGGTGTGAAGATGATGTTTTTACAAGCAATGGTAAACTTGGAAAATTATTCGACGAACTGGCTTCCTGATTATGGGTTTGTGTTGTCATTCACTCACTATCATTTACTTTGAAATTTGTATATATTTTGGAATCTTGAATTTCCCTTTTATCCCCCAAGAAATGTATTGCATTTAACAAATTGAGACCACAATTTTTCGGATTTTAAATGTAAACATGTTCTTCATATCATTGCATGCATGCTAAACCATGTTTTTACCTTGAATATGACCAGGGGGTGTTTCATAAAGCTGTTAGTACAGTTACGCATGACTTTACGAACGACTTGTATATGAAGTACCAGATAGGATGCCCAAAGTTTTTTCTGATATTTTCAATAACCTCAATTAAATTATGGCCAAAAATATACTTTGAATTAAAAATGTTTGTTATCATAAGAATTTTAATCTACATCTGCACAGTTCAACTTTAGTTGATGTATTTGATAATGACTGAGCACCCCATTTGGCTTTTCATATACAAGTTGTTCGTAAAGTCGTGCGTAACTTTACGAACAGCTTTGTGAAACACCCCCTGGGCTGATGGGGAATTTTTAGAGTTTTTTTTTTAAAGCTTTGCCAGCAGTCTGGTGATGGTTCTTGTATGGTAATACTGTAATGGGGTCTTTTGGCTGAGCCCATGTTATATACGGGGTCGGCACGGGGGAACCGTGCCCCAACCTCCAACAAAAAAAAAAAAACATTCAAGATATAGAAAGAGTTAGAGAGAGAAAGGGATTGCGGAGAGGTAACAAAGTTACCACTCCCTCTGACATATCCTCCCACTCTTCTACATGACTGCCTTGCTCCCTCGCTTTTGATCGCCTATAGTTGAAAAGCCCATCCCTATATACATATTTAAAAAAAAAACTATAGCTGTGCTGCACGTTCGTTTAAATATTTTGGCTATCGGGTTTGGTCCGGGGAACTAGCAGGGTGCAATCGGGCTCCGTATACATGGTCAGTTCGGGATCGTCGTTTTTTGTCGGGCCTGTATCGGTTCGTGACATAGCAACATTTAAACAAAAAAGATCGGTGTGTTTTGATTCTGAGTCGGTTTTGTCGGTGTGACATCAACATGTTGGTATTTACAGATATGTTTATGTTAATTGTTGGAAAACAATACAATCATGCGTATTCCATTCTATTCTTCGATCAACGCATTAATGATTGACAAGGGTTCTCTTTCAATCTTTCTCTCTCACCATGAATAGCTGGGTGCCCCGATGGATGCACCTGTACCGGACTTTCATTCACCTGTCACGTTTATACCTTACGCATCACATCTCTGCCGAGGAATCTTAGAAAATTGTTCGTCACTTTGTACTGTATATTTGACAGTTTCCCATGAATGAAATTGTAGAAAGGGATGGATTATACATGATTCGTATGCATTATGAATCCAGAATCACATGCTTAAAATTTCAAAATTCGAGGTGTATACTGTGTACCAGGTTTATCACAAAAATCAGTTTAATCGTTTATTAAAGCTATATATGTTTGGTCAATTGAAGTTTCCAGACGAATGTAGACTATTTAATAGAACCCCACGTATATGGGAAAATTTAACATCACTTTAAAAAGAGATATATATGTATCTTATATTCTTAATAAAGGTCGTTGAATTCAAATTTAAAAGGGATACTATCTTTTTTAATCTATTTGTAATATCTGTCTTAACAAAAGTTTGAGTCTTCCGTTCTTTTCTTGAAGATGAAACATCTTCCAACCCTGCATCGGTCGTTCATGCCATTTCTAGACACTAACATTCCCAACCTTGTGACAGAATCATTGCAATTATCATCGAAATCATTTAGGTCCCTTGGTTGTGAGAGCCAAATGCCATGTGGTACCAGAGATATCGTGAATGCCTTGGAAACGGATGCGAATGAGAATGGCACAATCGTACCATCTTTGCTACCTTACCTCGTTGAAGTGTAAGTGGATTTACACAGTAAATAATTTAATACTACTGCTGCTGCTACTACTACTACTACTACTCCTGCTCCTACTACTAATAATACTACTACTACTACAACAACTACAACAACAAAAACAACTACTAATACTAATACTACTACTACTACTACTACTACTACTACTACTACTATTACTGATGCTGCTGCTACTACTACGGCTGCTTCTTCTACTACTACTACTACTACTTATAATAATACGACTACTACTACTACTTATACTAACACCACCACCACCACAACCTCTGCTGCTCAGTGGCGGATCCATGGGGGGGGGGGGGGGCGGGGCCGGGGCAACAACACAGGTAACACACCTTTTTGGTTAAAATGTTGAGTTAAAAAAAATAAAAATAGCACTGTCCCACCCCCGCCCACCGTTGAGCAACAACAACAACAATTAGTGTTGTCACTACCCACCTCCCCCCCCCCATTTCACGAATGGGTTCCCTCTCCGGTCCCTCCCTTGCCGCCGGCTGGATCTGCCCCTGCTGCCGCTACCACCATTTCCACCACTAGTACCATTGCTACCAGCTAAGTAGTCATCCGGGACTTTGCAGCTCTTCAACACCTACATGTCAAACGACAGTTAAAAATGATGATGATGAAATAGATATCAACAAAACTGATAAACAAACATATACCCTTTTTCAACTATTTCTTCCAATTGAAACTTATTCATGAGTATTGCATTTTTCTTTGCTGTTACGATTTGATTGTTTGTGTTAAATATAAACATCATTTTCTTTATATTTTGTACAGTGCCCTTGAAAATTCAGGAGTTTCAGAGATTGAACACGGATCATTTTCAGAAAGTTCAAATATTTTGCACTTGTAAGTCTTACAGCATCATCTGCATACCTCTTCAAACTATACACGAGAAAAAATAGTTATTTATATTAAAAAAAAACAATGTTATATTTTATTCATTTTTTAGTAATATTGTTATTACTGTTATAACTCTGATGGCTCCAAAACTTAATGCATAACGCAACTAATTTACTCAGTTCAAAAGTAACCGTCAATCCAATTCAATTAGAATAGAGCTCAGGGTAGCTTTCAATAACTTCATCATTTACTTAAAAATAACCCTTTTATGTTTGGAAACATAAATTCGTGGAATATTTATAAAGTGGCGGTGTCGTGGTATAGTGGTTCGTTTACTTGACTCTCACTACAATGGTTGTGGGTTCGAATCCTAGTCTGGCACTAATGACTTGTGTTAAGACATTATTCCACATTTGCCACTCTCCAACCAGGTGTAATCGGGAACCCGACAATTGCTGGGGCAATTATAATTGCATGGCCTGCAGGAAGACGAGGTTTAATACTGGTATGGCTACACTGGGTAAATAAGACCCAATAGGCTATTTTTGTAGTGTAAACAAATTTATGCACGTGCCTTTGTGAGGCGCCTGTATATAAATTATTTCATTCAGCTGTTACGAATAAATGTATCTCAATAGTCAGAATTGAAATTGAATATATTAGTTGTTGCTAGGTAGGACAAACATTTTGGCTGGCCCTAATTAAAACACGTCACACTCGCAAATTGCATTATGATTATTGAAATACAATTATTCGTAACAGGAAAATGAAATAATTCGTATCGGGGCACTAAATTATATATTTTGTAATCATTACGAAAATGGCCAATAATCATTTATTATTTAAGATGAATGTTGATGTACTGATGAGTTTGCCTTTTCTTTTTCTGTCAGAGATCTCGCATTAAATGACATATACATGTTATTTAAAGGCGCATTCCGAGGTCTACAACGATTGGCTACATTGTAAGTTTCTCTTTAAATTGTATTTTCCATGCTGCTGGTTACTAAAGTTTGTTTATATATGTTTATAGTACATTTCAGTGTTTTCTTATATTCTTGTTATGTCTTTAGTACTATGTCTAGTGATCTTATGTTTGATGATTTGCAAACTTTATATTATTATCTATAATAAATGTTCCACTGAATTGAATAAATACGTGTGTCTGAAAATTTTCAGGCTACTATTTTCGTGGTACTACATTTAAAATAACAGTGTAGAGAGTTTTCCGAATACTCCATGTGTAGCTCACTACAAGGATGAATGCATTTGGAATCCAGTAAATTCATTTGTGTTTAGCTGTAATTAATCTGCCATTTAAGCTCCAGTTCGTTTTGAATTATGTATATGCTCATTCTTTTCATAATCGTTAAAGTTTGTTATCTATGGGAAATGTATTATAATCCTTTGGAATACATATAGATTCCTAAATCAATATAAACCTGATCCATAAACATATGCAATAATCCCATTAAGAGGAATAAAACGTACATTATCGATAGAATTTAATCATAAAATTAGAAAATGTTTCTATCTCTCTCTTTCAGGAACCTTTCTAACAATCCTCTGCAGATGATTGAAATAGGAACGTTTGATAACCTAACCAACCTCCAAGAGTTGTAAGCACATTTTATTCAATTTCTGGAAAAAGAAAAGATTATATCCTGTAACAAATAGAGGCGTTTATGGGCTTATAAATTTAGCTGTTGTATAGTGGATGACATAACATTACTTTAAAAATAAAAAATCAAATTATGTTTAATTATTTGCTTGGAATAGGTAGAGAATGTTTTTATGTGAAATAAGAATTGTGTATTTCTATAAACAGTAAATTTGTCCCATTGCCTGTATAAATGCATTGTGATTTTATCAAATAGTAAACGAAAATAAAATACTAACTTTACCCTGACACTGCTTAAAGTTTCTATTGTTCTCTGTGTTGGTAAAATCGCGGCGGATATACTCACTTATCCTGAAATATGTCTACATTATTCGATTAATGAATAAGGTGTTTGTTCTATACACTGTAGTATCGATTACATTTTCAATATCTGCTAGCAATAAATATTTGTTGTTTGTTTGTGTTTCTTTGCAGGGATATTCGAAACACACTGATATTTGAATCAGGCGATACTGAATTTGGCGCGTTCACAGGCTTACATAATCTAGAAACCTTGTAAGTCTATAAGTTACTATATATTAGTCCAAATTAAATATGATATTAAAAACACAGAATTGAAGAAAACAAATAAATGACGGCAGACATGAAACTCGAAAAAGAAGGAAGGGGGGGGGGGGGGGATCCTTGTGGCATAGTCATAGGAAAGAAAAGAAAAGGATTTGTTGAATGGGATCTTTTTTTTGCACGGTCTGTGACAGATGTCAATTTCTGGGTTTGGAATGGATGTCAAGGAGGTGATAATGATGGTTAGGGGAGTCTAAGCATGGGTGAGTGTTTCAGATTTTTTCTTTAATTATCTCTGTTTGTATCATATGTGCATCTTCAACATCTTGTCCATGCATTCCTTCACCTTCACCGTCTTATGTTAGTTTTGAAATCCAGATTACGGATAGAATTGGGGTTGATGTAACATTAATAAGAGTTATCATCTAATACTGTTTAATGAACTAAAGCATTTTTACCAATATGATTTTCATACATGTTTTTGTTTAAATATATATAGGTATGCTGACAAATACCTTATTTGCTGCCTGGCGGGTTTAGGGGATTCCCCTAACTGCAATGCACCACGTGACCAGTTCTCGTCGTGTGAAGATCTCATGGCCAATAACATCCTTCGAATCTTTATCTGGATTCTCGGGATCAGTGCTTTCATTGGCAACATCCTTGTTGTTGGCTATAGACTCGTCAACTCTGGATGGGCCCGGCATACGACCGTCCAATCGAGTCTGATCACCAACCTAGCCGTCTCTGATTTCTTGATGGGTTTGTACATGATTTCAATAGCTTCAGCTGATGTCTATTATCAAGGGAACTATGCTGCTCATGCTGATGATTGGAAGGATAGTATCCTGTGCAAGGTTGCAGGTATCACTTCCGTTGTCTCCAGCGAGGCTTCGGTGTTTCTGATAATGATCATAAGCATTGATAGGTGTGTCCATGTGTTGGCGCCATTTAAACTGCAACTACACCTCTCTGTTCGTGGTGCCCGAGTAGTTGAGCTCATCATCTGGGCCCTCGCCGCCTTCCTTGGCATTCTACCAACTCTTATTCCGGCTTTCGTCGAAGGGAAGTTCTACGGTCAATCAGGAGTCTGTCTGGCTCTACCCCTAACGGTCGACCGTCCTGCAGGATGGCACTACTCCATCTCCTTGTTCATAGGTGTCAACTTCGTGGCGTTCCTGGTGACCCTCCTATGCTACATCTCCATCTACTGCATGTTTCAGATGTCGAAGCAGCGGATCGTCGGGAAAAGGAACAAGTCTAAGGAGGATATGCGATTGGCTCAAAACATCAAGCTGGCATCTAGGATGGCGCTTGTTGTTGGTACAGACCTTGTTTGTTGGTTACCAATTATCGTCATGGGCTTGATGTCAGCGAGTGGAACTCTGACAATTTCTGCACAGGTGAGTTTCCACTACCACACCTCTAATAATGTGGTCGTAGACAAAGTAAGGGCAGAGCAATTTGCCCTTATGGATAATTATTTGGGGGATGTGTTGTTCGGTCTGTTAGATCGTTGGTCAAACCACAGGCTATCATCCGACACTCATAGAGAAGATGAGTACTTTTTTATTTGGTGGAAATATCAGGCGGTATTACCTCAGGAAATACCAAAGTGGAAAGACATTTATTCAGGAGAAATGTAAACCTTTTTTCAAGCTGAATTGTTTACAGACCAACTCATGTCCGCTGTCTTATAGCCATAAAAGTAGCACAACGGTGTTCCTTTTTGTTTACGTCATAAAAATACTTGAGAGTTATTTGACTTGCTATACAATGTATATTCCATTATCATAACGATTAATATTTTTTTTTTACTATGAAGGTATACGCATGGACAGCAGTCTTTGTGCTACCCGTCAACTCGTCTCTTAATCCATATCTTTACACTCTTGCATCGATTCGTCAAAGGAAGCAGAAATCCGCTGAGAATCGAAGCATGAAGTACGAGGAAAAGACTATGGGTAATGACTGATATCTCTCTCAATGGATTATCTAGTGAAGTGTGTCGACAATTTGAACGCGTGCCTCAGCTACTATTTTCACACGTTTACCCTGTCACAGATTTCACTATTTCCAGCTAGTAAAAAACTGTTTGGTTGATGATTATTGCTAATGAGTTTGCTGTTCTGACTGTCAAAGTCGACTACGTCGATATATAGGCCCCCAAAATTGAATAGAAGTATATTATTCTTAATATATCAGTTAATGTTCATTGATTTTTGCAGCTTATGGGATATATTTGACTTGCCCATAAACATATCAATCGTTTCTTAGGGGACAGTATTTTAGACAACTTTGACCTCGAGTTGATTTCTTGAAAATGTTTGCGAGCGCGTTTCACGCTGTTTTACAAAGGGTCCCGTAACACGAATGTTTGTAATCAATTGCAAATTTGAAACAACGATTGTGATTGGTAAATGGTTAGCCTTTTGAACAGTATTATAGTGCATTAATGATCTTGATTGGCCATTGCCATTTTTGCGAATGATTGCAATTTTGTTTTACGGGGTCCAGAAGTTTTTTTCCCTTCATTTAATCAATGCTTCTAATGACCCATTGATCCCTTACAGAAGCCAGTATTTTTGACGACACTTCAATCATCTCAGCCTTCACGTCTCTGCCCAGCCCCTCACCCGAGCGACTGATCGAATGGGTGAAACGTAACCAACGATCTCTTGGACGTTTAGAAGTCGATGTGATTCAACGTGACGTCACAAAGGCTGTGGAAAGAATGAAGGAGTCTGGACTATGGAATGACGTCATACTCAACTTGCATCAAATTGCCGTCCAAGCAGTAAGTTTGAGATTTGTTTTGGAAGTGAGATTAAAACTGTTTAAACGATCGAAATGACTTTGGAAATATTAATGAATTGTAACTTCAATAGCCTTGTACATCATTTGATTTCACGGAATCTTTGTGATCCTGTTTTTTAATGAGAGATGAGTGAGGGACAAACTTCATAGGAACACAACAATATATATCTGTCTATACCCTTATCTAATATCTGAAAAAAGCCAAGGGTAACTTTTCCATTAGGTAAAGTAAGATTTTTAAGTATTGACTAAAAGGTGTTATATACCTCATTTAAGAAATCCAGCCATCTGATTGGTCGAAATTGCATTCATCAACTTTGACTATTTCTGTAATATTCCCTGTAACCATGGTTAAAACAGTTCTAAAATCCCAGTAACCATGGTTACCGGGAAAGTAGTTCAGTCTCCATGGTTACCCCATAGGTTTACATGTTAAAAAATGGTCTGAGCGATCGAGGATACCGTACGTGTGCGAAGAATCGGTCGGTAATTTCAATACAATTGAATCTCGATCGATCTTACCGACAATTCTTATCTTGCATTGTTGACATGAAGACGAAAATAAACTTCCATTAAGCCAAAACAACATCTGCCGATAGATCTTGATCTAAGTTCGTGCCAATATGCATTGCAAAAGTAAAAGAAGGGCCCGTTTAATGGAGCAGCCGCGAAGCATCCACCGCGCGGAGCCGTTTTCAATCCATTTTAATGTATATATTAGAGAAAACTGCTCGGTTAGGTAACAGAGCGCGATGGCCGAGCGGTTTAAGGCAGTGATTTTAGTTATATCACCTTCTGTACGCAAGAGATCGAATCCCATCTTCGAAATTTTTTTTTTCTTTTTTTTTTTTTTTCCGGCATATAAAAGTATTAATGACTGCTTTAATATTCGAGAAATAGTTGTTTTTATACGCTCTCGGGAAGGTTAAAATTGGGCTATTGCCCTTGGCACGCCTCGGGGTAATAGCACAATTCTAACCTTCCCTTGAGCGTATAAAAACAACTATTTCTCTCAAAGCAGTCATTAATACTATACTATTAATTTTTTTTTACAGGATGGTGCGGGAAGAATCATACACGCTTTTGTAGTGTTAGACTCATCTCTGACATTCCTTGAATCACGTGATGAAGATCTGACGACCATTCTGGAGAATGATGGAAACATTGACATCTTACTCAATATGATTGTGAGGGCAAATACGTCAAAGTAAAGAAAAGGAGAGAGATCGGGAATTCTAAGATAGGAATGAATCATGAAATAACGAGATTTGTTAGTAGCTACATGGAGTATTCAAGAAAAGTGAGAACACCTAATGAAAAATGTTAATTATTGAATTTAAGTTTCTATTGCACTACATTGTTTTAATGAAGAAATATGTTGTACCTTTAAAATCAATCATGATAGAAAACCGAATCTATTATTGCTTTAAACAGGCCTCTGATTTAATCAATTTGTAAAAAGTTATATCAAACTCTTTTGTTAGGGGTTGTGTATAATAATGTACGTCTAACTGTAAATATAGAGGAAGTGATATTTTTAGAGAATAAATTATATTTACCATGATGTTATGGTTAAAGCCTAAGTCACACTAGGCGTGCACGACCGGTTGCTGTCTTCTGACAAGCAAAACAGAGCTGCGACCATCGACAACCAATTTAAAATAATGTATAGAGGGCGATCATTTTCCGATCGGTTGCGGAATGTTGTACAAAATTGGTCCATCATAAAAGATTTTCGTAAACTAATTTGCGACCGCGCGTGGAAATATTGGCAAATGGTTGGCAGTTGGTCAGTGATTGATCGGCGATAACAAATAATTGGGTGGAGAAGAATGGACGATGTTCTTACGACCGTCGGCAAGCTTAACCTTGGGGGAGGAATAATACTGATGCAAACACACAATACACTTCTTGCTTATTGTATTTGTTTATATGAGATGAGATTTTATTTCAAATTTATTTATTTTTTGTTTAAAAGACGAATAAGTATGTTGCATTGGAGCCTATTATTATGTTTTGATCAGAAAAAGTCAAACAAAACAGAAAATGGGATATAGGAAAAAGGTTAAAATGGAAGCTAGAATGAAGATGGCGAAACTGCGTGCAGATAACAGAGAGAATGTAGTAGGTAATCAAAAAGGAGAGTAAACGAGGAGTATACTGTGTGAGGGATATGGGAAATCGATTACACAAACATGACAAATAAGAACAAAAGTTATCTCTTATTATATATTTTCAAGTGGCTGCCTCGTTAAAGACATTACCATGACATGTTTTTATTACTTTTGTTTTTTGGAACATCTATAAAACTAAATCTACGGTGCATTATGAAGGGGAGGAAATTTCCCCCCCAATAAAACAGCCAGTAGCATAATTGTGTAACATAAATACATTAATAAATCAGACTTTATTTTACTTTTGGACTTTTGGAGATTAATCGGCGACTAGACGTGTATCACTCGTCGATCAGCTGTCGTTCTTTTCTCAACCAAATGTCGCCTGGAAATAGTCGTCAATCATTGTAGATCAATTACGGCGATCAGTCGCCAATCAATCTGAGAACTGTCGCCTATATACCATTGTAAAATCAAGAACAAACCTTTCAGTGACCAGTCTGGTCGACCAGTCCGGCTGACCACTGGTCGGAAGTCGACGACCGGTCGTAGCTCTCGTATGACTTAGGCTTTAGCTAGCGATGAAGAGTACAGAAATAGCATGATGTTTGATAATAAATACTTCTTCATAGATTAAGCTTTGTTTACATAACTTTATAATTACATTGTACAGAAAAGAGCAATCGTTAAGAAAAACTGTT